GCATCCAATAGGTATGCTACGAAAGCTATCCAGCGTCTCTCAAACCGCATCGAGAGGCAGACCTCTTCTATGTGAGCCCCGAGGCCCTACGCGATTGTTGTCTTTGTCTCCTCCAAACCCACTCTCACCCTTCCGATCTATATCGTCTCAGTGTGCCGCTCTATCGAACACCCTGTCCCCCAACTCTCCCGGCATCGTCCGTCGGTGGAGCGGGTCACCACACACGCACCGACGACCTGTGACCTTTGAGGGAAGGTCAACAGGCGCCGACGGGAGCGACGGCAGCGGGGGCGGCGGAAGTGGCGATAAAAGGGGTAGCCGCGCAGACAGCTATGGCTGCCCGGCAACGAACGATGAACGGAAGGGGAGAGCGCTGGGAGGAAAGCAAAAGAAGCGACGGAGGAAAGAAGGGAGGAATGAATACTGAATAGTAAGAAAGAGGGAAAAAGAGAGAGAGGGGAGAGAAAGAGGACATATGCCCTGCAGTCTCATTATTTGCAACTTTCCAGCTATTAGTGAAATCTTACAACCACTTCACATGAACATCCAGTCTGTATTGTTACAGCCACTGTGCCACGCCTGAGGTCATCTGAAGCACATAGGTCAACGGTCAACCTTCCAGCTGGGACACCTACTAAACCAGAGCGTCAAGCGACTTTGGTGGACAAACAACAACGGTGTTGACATGAACCAGAAGACATTACGAGGTTATGCGTCCCGACGTCACATTTCCGATCAGTCCCGAACTCAGGACGGCCGCGTACAGTACATAGGTACAGTACAGTTGTGCGCGCCTTGGTGAAACAGTTCGCTAAGCGTGACAGGGACTTCAAGTTGTGGAAGGCGACACGCACTAGCTTCATGCTGTTCCAGGAAAGTGAACTTTATCGAGCAGATTTCTGCCGAACATCCCAGAAGGTTGTATAAAGACATGCGTGACAGGGGCCGAAAGCCGCAAGAACATCGTGTCAACTTCGTCCGGAGTTCTGACTCATACTCAGTCTGTCCATGAAATCGAAGTAACTCTAACGAACACAGTACTTTGTCGACAATTCACAGACGTTAGACCACACGAAAAGGATCGTTTTAAACTTTTTAAGTCCGTAGCCAGTCATGGCGAAATAGCCGGTTCTATGAGAGCTAAGATTTGATACCAACGATTTATGGCAGCGAGTCACACATTAGCGGTGAGGTTGTGAGGATGTTGGAGGTTTCAATGGCACGACAACATGTCAACATTCCTAAATATATAAACTTGGTTGTGATATCTTATGGTATGTGAAGCGTTTTTTTTTTTTGCATCTTGTGGTATGTGAAGCTTATCGAATGTGTATCAGTACATGACATAACTAGCCATCAAAATGATGCCGCTGAAATCATTTGATTTTACTGGCAATATTCATGTTACATCGGATCAACAAACGTTTTCCACGCTCTCCTGTAGTAATATCATTTGAATCCCTCAATCCAGTGGTTTCAGCGGCACGACAGCAGGTCAGCATTCCTAAATATATTTTTCAACAATCGTCCGGCCTGCCATCCCAGCAGCCACAGCCGGCGCCACTGTTCGCCCTGGTGACCGATTGCTGACCAAGCATCTGAACGGCGGCCCAATTGACCAGACCGCTCCACTATGGTTGGAAACGGCCTCACGGATGGCCGTGGGCAATTTCGGAATATATGTATATTTGGGGTGTCATTCTGTTGGAAATTGATGAAATGTTTTGAATTGGGCAGCAAAAATTATTTAGTTGCGCATTTATTCTCCATTATTGTACGTGGAATCGGGAGTTTCTGATAGTGACTTTTTTAGTGCGCCGTCAAAGGTTTAAACAACCGCGCTGTTGATAGCATGTGGAGTACCTCCATGACGTTGTAAAACTGGATTATTATATATCAAAATAATCCTTGTTATGTTGGCTATCGAGTGGAGTGACTCTTTTTACCATGCGTGTTCAAAATCAGGAACGGCATTGCATTCTGTTTGCAGTGTCACCACAGCAATATTTGCAAAATTACGTTTATGTTTCATTGGACATACAAAAAGTTCTCCATCGACCTCCATTGAGCTTTTTGGCAGAATAAATCTCTGTTCAATTCTGCGTAAGGGGAACGTAAAACCAGACTGCGCACTTGTGCGCAAAATCGTCCGTGAAGCTTCATCTCCCGAGGCGTACCTACCCGTCGCTTCGTTAGCACCAGGTCGGCGCGTCAGTCTTGCAATCGCTTATCCTTATAAATGATGGTAAGAAGCAGGGTTGCGGAGTCGTGGTGGCGCCAAATCCGACTCCGACTACGACTCCGACTCCTGACTCGTTGCCTTGACTCCGGCCGACTCTGTCTCCGACTCCGGACCCCTGCCAGTGTTTCGGAGTCGTGATGGAGCTGTTCCGATTCGGACCGATTCCGACTTCCACTGCGGGCTCCTGACCGACCCCGACTCCGACTCCGACTCCTGGCTCGTTGCCACGACTCTGGGCGACTCTGACTCCGACTCCGACTCTGACTCCGACTCTGACTTCGACTCCGCACCCCTCGTAAGAAGTAACTGCTCGCCCCTGCACCTGGAGTATGGATATCGTGCAAACGTGTATGGATATCCTGGAGTATGGATATGGATATCCACCGACAGAGCAGACATACAGACATGCTGTAAACGCCATTACACTGCCAATACCATGGCAAATCAAATTGCTATCTATGGTTTTTGATCATCGTTCTACATTTTCCAAAATCTTGAACTGAATGTTGGCAATTTCTCGTGACTACTTCACGACCATGACGCATGCATTTCTGAAATTGATCTTTTTTCAACCAGCCAGGTACTCGTATGATAAAATGAATGTCACCATCGTGTTCTACGCCCAAAAGTACCCATAAAACATGTGTCATGCATGGGCTGCGAATAGGTACCAGTTTTAATTTTCGGGGTTATGTTCTTACCTGATTGACCTGACTTTGACCCTGGCCAGTGGCCTATATTTGACTGACCCCTACATTGATCTGACACTCTTTTAGCACTTATATGAAGGGTTGTGACAGTTGTGACAGTTGTGACAGATTGTTTAGGACCAACTGATGACTGAATTTACTTAGGACCAACTGATGACGATATAATCGAAACGCGAAACGCGAGGCACCGATTGCGAGGTTCTAAAGTCCATGCTACTGAAAGCCCGATTTCAAGTGTTTGACCTGACTTTGACCCGACCTGTGACCTCGAAATTCAGCTTTAAAGTATTCATGTGAATCGTCTCGTCGCGTTCTTCTTTCGTTTGCCGCGCTTCGTGCGTTTCGCTGCGCCTATTTGTTCGCGAGTTATCGGCTGGGGGCGTTGAACGCCCCCCCCCCCCCCCGGCAAACGGCGGATGGGGAAATACCCCAGCAACTGCCGGGTTAATCTGACGCATGTTTTGTCATTTGATCGTCATTTTATTTCTTACTTTTTTGCCCAATCTAAAAAAAATCATAAATACTCTTTCTCCAAATTTTTGACCCTTTATGACCAATAGTAAGACACTGTGCGTCACTACGTTGATATTTCTCGCCCTAAAGCATAACAACAATATCCATTCAGTAATAGCAGTATTCAAAACATGTTCAAAATGCCTCGCGATATCGATAACATAACGAAAGACATAGGCGACTTATAACATACTTGCAATGATGACGTCACACATGCGTGACGTGACGTGACCTCGTCATTTCTGAGTTACTGTATGATGCACGAAAGACACTGGTATACCTATGCAAAGTTTCATCGCAGTCGGTCTACGCATTAACAAGTTATGGGCAAAACATTTTTTCGCGTTGACCCCCGGCCATCCGTGAGGCCGTTTCCAACCATAGTGCGCTCCACCGATGACCCGGTCATTCGTTTGATATTGACTCCATCAGTGCCCGGACGTTAGGGCAGGAGGGGTGCGGAGCGGGGTTCAAACCAGGGGACTGTGTCGTTTGCTATCGATCAGAAAGTGTAGTTTTATGCCCACGCCGCAACTGAAACCTGACGCCATGAAAGGAACGGCATACAGCCTTTCAACGTAGCTATACAGACAGACATCAGGCGAAGTCCGGCTTCGGACACGAAGTGCAGCATTGGTTGGAATGGAACAAAGCTAGCGTAGGTAGCTGACTAGCACCACGCTTGTACTTAAAAGCACGATGTATATGCCACATGGTAATTACTACACCATAGACCAGGGCAACGTCAAAATGAATCGATCACTGCATCACTCTGACAACTCAGAGTCAAGAGAAAATGCCGCCATTATGCCAACACACATAAGGTACACAAATTCGCCCCCGGAAACAAATAGCCGACCTTCGTCGGACTCAACTAGAGTGATTTGCGGATGCTTGTCATTCGATAGGACACTGGGACATTGAGGTTGTATGATGAAGGTCGCTCTCGCTATCATTGCACTTCTTAGCACAGCGGCTAGCTGCGATCACTTGGGAATGAACAAAACAAAAATGGCGGGCGAACAACGCTCAATGCTCCTGCAGTCACCAGGAAAAGACTACAGTCACCCCAAGCCAAACAAAAAAGATTCATTTTTCACTCAATAAAAGAAGTAAAAAAGCATGCCGATCAACCCAGTCATGGTATTCCCATGCAGTCAGCCCTCTGTCCCGATAACAGCCCCCCCCCCCCCCCCCTGGTGGTCAGATCGGCCGACCGGGCTCGTTCGTCAGCGGTGGCGGCGACGTCCGGCATTGTGACGATGGCTAAGTGGTTTTCGATCGGTGCTCGATCACCACTATCGCCGGCCAAGTGAGTTCCAATGAGCCCCGCTGTCGTCATGGACGGACGGGGAACGGGTGACGACGACGTGCGGCGAATGAGAGGCGGAAAAGACGGTGCACTGATAAACCACGCCGAGAAATACAGCCTGTAAGGCCAGCCTACAGGCTTGACGGGCGGGTGTAGGGCAGGGGCCTGGTAACCACAGGCTAAGACGCAGGGCCCACGCCATCCTGGCGGCCGCAGGACTCACCTCCAGTTTCCGGACGGCCTTGACCTGATGGCTGTGTTCAGTGGCCTTCTGAATAAGTCCCGATAGTGAGTCGAGGAAATGGAGTGCCGCCTTCATCTGTTCATCAGTCAGCACCCAGAGCAGGTCGTCGAGGATGAGCACCAACCGGCACCCCATCACCGAACAGTCTGCGGAAAAACAGGGCCAGAAACCCGGTCACACTCCATCACTGAACTCTTATACAGCCAGAAGTGAAGGGGGCGGGACAAAGAACAGGGTCAGAAACTTGGTCAACGGCCAGCAAAGAACAGTATGCAGAGGCGGGAACACGGAGCTGAGTCAGAATGGGAAACAATCAACAGGAAGTGGAGTCCAAGCGGGGGAGGTCAAAATAGGCAGCGGTAAGAGCCGACCAACGCAGAGGCTGAAGGTGTGGACTGTGACTGGTGGTAGGTGGGTATTAGGTAGACAGAATCTTGTGTGAGAGCTAGTATTTGGACGTTACTGTTGCCTAACATTTCACCGCAGTTCACTCAACACATCAATATGTCCCCCTAGAGAGGTAGCTCAGGTTGGGATTTTCAATAGAAAATCACAATTCTAAAGAATAGTGACTGTTCTTAATGGAAAAGTCCCAAACTTCGGCTATTCAAGTAAAACACCTCCTTGCATATGTCCGGTCACCGAACAGACATGTGCAGTGCACACTGCACAGCCGCCTCACATTAGCCCCGCGGGATATCTACTAATTCAGTCAGCGACTCAGTGTCGTGAAGCCACGGCAGCCGGCAGGTGCCAAGTGTTATAGTCACGCTACCGCCGGCAGAGACCCGTGCCTGCCGCCGGGCAGTTAGGGCAGGCTCGTCGGGCGGGGGTGAGCCAACAGGGCTATAACACCCCACACGGCGCGCCCAGAGAAAGGCGCCGGTGCACGACCAGACACGACAGGGGCGGGACATTGGACAGCAGCGTTAGTTCAGACACGCCAGGCACGACAGATTGGGCCGGACAGGAGCGCTAGATACGCCAAATGAAGGAAATCGAGCGACAGCCGGACCGTAGAAGATGACAAAGATAGCCAATTTTATCACTATAAATATATCCCGATAGAGCACATTTTCGGTTTTGAATTTTCAATCCATTTGTTTGGACCAGAGGACTGAGACAGTTTTCGGTCCAGCATTCAGCAACAAGGCAGAACTCTCGTCACATAGGCTGAGAGCGCGCCCAAAGACACTATCATTCACACGCGATGACTTCAGACTCGTGTTGGCGCTGCAGTGTATGCAAAAGTCATGTATCTCATAACCCCCCAGTGCCGGCCGTATTCGGAGGCGCTGGGCCGGCGCCGACGATCCGCTCCGCCTATTCTGAACAATTGTGTGCTGATATACCGCACAGAATCACTTCACGCCGGTCCGGGCACACAATGCAGCCATATTTCCGCCGAATCCACAATGGTGCCGATGGTATCAAACACCAATCCCAGTGCTCTTTCCACCATCATAGCTGAAGCTTCTAGAGTATATAAATCCGTCTGAGCAAACCCAGTCTATTTCTACAAACCAATAGTGGCGGAGGCTCCATTTCAACCGCCCAACGTTCCAGCCAATACCCGGATTCCCCAGAGCAGCCTCGACAATAGCGCTGATAGGTTGGCGTTGTTGTGCTCGCCACCAAAGCTCGCTGAGCTCACAGCTCTGTAGACTATGGCCGCCGAGCTGCAAAGGCTCCGTCGAAGCTTTCGCTTCTCGCGACCTCGCCCGCTGAAGCTCCTGAGTGCCGTGGGATTACTTGGCCTTGTCAAAACACGACCGGCGGGCTGGGGAAGCTGATAGTGGCGGCCCGAGCTGCGGCAGCTCGGGGAAAACTGCCATCGCCTCGAGGAAGCTGTGAGCCGCTGTGACGCGGGTGAAGCCGTATCAGGCTGCCGCGCAGAGAGGTATTCAGTCCACGAACGTTTATCGCCATAGCACGGCGGACAGAAGGCCGGCACAGGGAATAATTTCTCTAAGGAATAACTTTGGTGAGGGTGACGCCTTAAACACTGAGATCCGGGCCAGGAAGAGCAATGCTGAGGCCAACGGGCTGCGCCATACAGAAAAAAGTTGATGTTTTTGGGTAACTAAAAACAGTGGACCTTCCACCTCCGTCACAAAAACGTAATATCTCAGTCACATGACGCCGAGACACGATTCCCCGAACCCGACAGGATAAGAGCTCTGAAGATGCCGTGTGGCGCCGGTCCGGCTCCGGATCCGGGTCCGGAACCGGCTCCGGATCCGGGTCCAGGACCGGCTCCGGATCCCCGGACAGGCGGAGGACGTGACCAGATCGTCAGATGATGCACAGATGGCGGCCGGTGCCGCTCGAGGGGTCGTGAGTCACGCGGGTATTTCACGGGACGCAGCAGCAGAGCGCGCTGTCTCGACCCGAGTCCATCGCGAGGGTGTCGACACAAGGGTGTCCGCACGGTGACGTGTCCAGGGCCAGTGTTTGTGTTGAGCCGAGGACTGAGACGGCTGCCAGAAAATACCCTTCACTGACGGCCGCCCCAGCGAGTGAGAGCTGACGCCAGTGTTTGAGCTGAGGTGCAAACCACCGAGGTGAATCTGACATATTTACAACACAGGTGGTGTCTTGTGGTAAAGTCCTCTGCAATTCTGAGAGAGTAATTCATGATGAGTTTTACTTTAAGTCAAGTGGGCCTCTTATGGCTAAGGAAACTGGGTAACGAAAACACATCTACAATAAATGAGCTCAAAGTAAATACGGATAAGGCAAGTCCAAATAAAGCAGTCACACGCTGAGGTAGCTGAAAAGTATATGCTCTATATCTATGCAGCATATCAATCATACTTCCTTTCATAAGATGAATCACACAGGCCAGGGTCTCCATTTTTCATCAGCCGTTATTCGTCCGCGCGGAAATGGCGTCGCTGAATTCCAGCTCTCCAAATATGCATAAACCATGCACCATCAACTGCATGACAGTGCCCCAATCTACAGTTCAACAAGTTTGGAACAGATCGACCAGATTCTAGCTACGATGCAAACTGCTGGTGGCAGACGGTATGAGGGAAGCCGCTTAGCATAACAAAATAAACCATGAGTCACTGAAGCCTTTCATGGAATGCAAAAGCTACTTAGCTGCTATTCCGAAGAACTGACCATGGGATGGTCTGCTCAAAGCCATGATCAAACGTACATATAATATTATTCATTTCAATAAAACCGGGCTATGCGAGACAGATCATGGTCAACTAAGAAGACGTAAGATCTACGGAACTATGAGGCGTAGGCCGTAGGCACAGTTACTCTCTTCTAAATATTTTGCCCGTATTCGCTCTGCCTCTCTCTAAACTCCTCCGTGCGTTGTCCTTGTTCCGCCCAATAGCCGGGCAACTGCGGCCATTACCGCTGGCTCCCGTGCTCACACACTGGTCAATTACCGGAAATAGATAATCGACGGCGCGGCGCGGCGGACCGCGACCGGTCACACGGCCTGTCCTGCGCATACGACGCGGATGGCACGGCTGACGAGCACAGACACACGATTAGTATTGAAGTTACATAGGTCCTTATCCACACCCAACAGACCAGTGGGCCCAGCAGTGTCGCGCGTTAGCGCCAGGTCAGCCATTCACCAGCGAAACAGCGCGGAAAGGATTGCACGCCACGCGGGCAATCGCTTAGCAATCATACTAAATCGCTCAGCCCGACCATAAAACTTTCCTGACAACGGAAACTTTTCGGCGGCGGAGCGGACACGTCGCCGCCCAGGCGCGTCCACTCGAGGCCGGGAGGTCCCGCCGGGCCGATCCGCTGCGGACACAGCGCTGGGCGAGCGGCCATTAGCAGCCATCGGCACACTTGGGAGGCCCGTGTTACCCAGCGGCTGTTAGGCAGCCGGTTCGTGCCACTACAGCGCACTCCGACGCGTCGGGAATCCTGAGTTCTCTGTAACGAGGTATCGCTGCCGTTTTTACGGAGCACGATGGTTATTACCGCCCGGAGCCAGTTACCGTTGCTGGTATTAGACCCACCTATACGGGCTCTAATAGTGGTCTGATGACCGCGCCTCGGTCGGCGGTGCTAAAAATAGCCGGCTCACCTCTGCCAGCCCTTTGTGCCCGGCCGTCTCCTCTCCTCTCACGAACAGACCCACGCCATCCAACAAAACCGAACTGATAAAGCCAAACAAAAGACATAGCGCCGCCAAAGACCGCCCGTATCTTCCGAAAGCTCTCCCAGGAGACCTCTCTGAAGGAACTCTACTTTCGCCTAAGGGCGATAACCCTCCCCATCGCCGGCCAGCGACGCCCGCGCCCCAGCTCACCCCCGTGTTGGCCGAGCGGGGAGGGGAGCGCGATAAGCTCAGGTGATGGGAGCCGCGAGCGGACAGCCAGCTGACATGTTGGCTGTGTCACGACGCGTGTCCGTTTCAGCACGCGAGCGCAACAGGAAGGGAGACGCAGCACGGACAGATCTGTGTTATGATATACAACTACCGCTGCTGTTATGATGAGATAGAATAGTTCCGCCGGCAAAGCTGGCCACCACTGTTCTTCGGCACTGAAGTGAGGGATAAAAGGCTGTCGGTTTTGGCGGCGAATTAGCCCTTTACTGTAGCGTCGCATTGATGGTATCGGATGCTTTGAAGACGACTTGGATTCCGAATGCTGCTGGACTGGCAAGTAGCCGAGCTATCTTCATCAACAGCTAACCACGTCAGCTGTGTTTGCTAATAGGTGACGCTGTGGCAGCATTAGCGTCGAAACGTGCACGGCATTGACATCGCGTCATGAGAAGTAGCGTGACATAGAGTAATGAGGGGATGGACCACTCGGTGTACGGCGACCTATGGCACACGGGCCGACCACTCAGCCCCGCCTGTTGGAGGCAGTATGAGCCCAAAGTGAGCTATATCACCACAAAAGTCAATGGACGGGCTGGTATCATCACAAACTCGTGTTGACTAAATGACCGAACGTAACTTTCCAGGCTTTCCAATCCAATTAGTAAGCTCAACCTCAGGCAATGCATCTTAATCATTTTTATCAAGTGAGACAGAGGATCAGACACTTTTTGTCATTTGAAGTCAATGCAAATAAGTCTGACGGCCAAGGGATTATCCCCACCAAACGAAAACTTCGCAACCACACAAAAACTGCATCTGAAAATCGCACCCACGGCTGACCACCAGCCCATCCACCCCACTCCCGAGCCGCCACTCACCGTTGATTTTCTTTTTGATGACGATACGGCAGTGAGACTGGTTGGTGATGAGTCTGAGCGGCGACAGGCCCTGGTCCAGGGTCGAGCGCGCCTCCATCTTCACCGTCTGCCACTGGAGCTCCTTGAAGATGAGCACCTCGCCGCGGTCGGGGTCCCGCAGCCGCGTCATACGCAGGTCACTGCGCTGCCACGAGGGAGACTTGGACTCGAGCACGATCCGGGATACCTGTCGAGGCGGGAGAGGGGTGAAGGTTAGGGTAGGATTGATGCGGCTGTGTTTAACACATAGTGAACTGCTAGTGTTTAAGACGTTTGGAAGGCTTATTAACGATAACCAAAAAGCGTAAGACAGGTAGAAAGGACAAATAACTATAGCGACATAAAAGAAGAAAAATGAGATACTTTTTAAAGTTGTCATCCATCGGCTCGGCTGTGTTAGCAGCTCAACTTGTTCCATGGAAGTCCACTGCACATGTTTATTGAACCTCCTAAGAATAAAACTGGCAGTTTCGAAGTTCGGTGAATATCTTTTAACATTAAGTTTGTCCGCCATTTTTCACATCTCCCACACATCCAAAACAGAATAACTAGCCCCGGCCCGTTGACCCACTCACCTGCACGGAGGCCTCGAAGGCGTGCGACTTGAACATGACGCAGCAGGAGTTGACGGTGACCGTCATGCCGTCGATGACCTTGTCGGAGAAGCCGTAGCGGCCACCGGACGCATAGGCCGGCTGGGCGGCCGCCATGGGCCTCAGCTCGTCACACGTCTCCATGGCAACCTGCACCTCGTCCAGACTCTGCCGACAGACGCGCACAGAACACATAAACACATAGCTTAGTATCCTCTGCTGCTAGTGCGAACAGTGCAAACAGAGGTGAAGCTAAAGATGCAAGGGAATATCACCACAGCTGATCCGATCAAACGTACCTATCTGTGAGGAGTTTAAACAATTAAATAAATTAAAAGTATCAGACGTTCGCCTACTTATGCAGTATTTAAGAGGAGGATATATGCTGATGAACACACATCGCTGTCTTGTTTTACCTGAGCTCTTTTAGTAAGTGTTACAAGTGATATGTGTGTATGCATTTTATTGTGTATTTGCTTTATCATGAGCCATTTTATCGCTTCTATGTGCCTATATTACCATTGTATGACGTGGATAACTGAAAACCCATCTTGTGGATGTAATCCGAAATATATGAGCATGAGTATGAGTATGAGTATAAAAGCCTTCGATAAAGCTAACTGATTTATTCCCAGATGAGGTTATCAGGTACGGCTCTATTACAGCTAAGTCCATTCAATCTAGTTAGACTGTTGGGTACACAGTACACAGCTGTTTCGACCAGTGACCAAACATATCACGCCCTGACATATAAAGCGAATAACAAGGGATACACTATTTCATAACGAAACAATCATAACGTCACATCACGAATGCTAACAACCAATATCCATTGATTATCCACAGCGGAAAGCACTCCCCGAATTGATAGCTAGGCTTCCAATGACGGCTCCTGATAGAGCTGCTATAGCGGTAATATGACACCTGAGCCGACAAAATCGATACTAGATACCCACTAATCGATACGCCTGCACACGTGTTCCCTATTTGCGGAAAAAAAACACGACACCGCCGAGGTTCACATCTCCTGCTAGCCTCTTTTCCCCCTCCCTCCCTCCCTCCCTCTCTCTCTCTCTCTCTCTCTCTCTCTCACTCTCTCTCTCTCTCTCTCTCTCTCTCTCTCTCTCTCTCTCTCTCTTCCTCGCTCCCTCCTTCCTCTCCCCCCCTCTCTCTCTCTCTCTTCCTTCCTCCCTCTCTTCCCCCTCCCTCGCTCCCCCATTACACGTACCACATAGATGGGCACCGACTTGAGCTTGGTCCAGTGGATGCGCACGGTGACGCGGTTGCACCAGACGCGGGTGATGCGCATCCAGGCGGGCAGCTCCAGCAGGTCGGTCATTACGGCCTCGTTCAGCTCCAGGTTCGACATCTCACCCTCGCCGCGCATCGTGCTGATGTTGATCTTATCCGCCGTCAGGTTCTTGGCGAATCTGTCAGTGAAGAACGGGCGGAAATGTGTCAGACGGGTGGCAAACAGAATTAGATGTGGCTCATTGATAGCCAACACACAACGTTATACGAGGCGTAACAAATGGATTTGTTTTCGCTGTCACATTTGAGCAATGTATAATTGCGATTATTATAATGTAGGAAGCACAACAATTTAGCGTACGGATAGATGCATCAAAATCATAATGCAGCAGTTCAGAAGTCAAGCTCTGGCATTATATATGAACAATCTTATCTACGGCATCAGCATTCAGCAATCAATAGCTGACACTGCAAACAAAATTACAGCGGACAACAGATGTTCCAACGGAACAAGGTTCACGCCTTGTCGTTTTACAACAGCCGTCTATTTTTATCCAAGTCGTTGGCCCGTGGTTACGTACGGCTGTTTTAAGGGCTGCCTTTAATAGCTCCTAGCGTAGCGCGCCACGAACATATTTTGTGGGTAGACCAGCCTATAGGCTCAACAGCGCGGTGTTGAGCCTAGGCTGGTGTACCCACAATTTTCGGCCGCTGCAGCGACCGAAAATCCCAGCATAGCCCGCAAAGTATGCACAGCGTAAAACTAGCCCCATCTTGGAGGATAATATTGTCCCTGCTGCACAGATATGCCCTATACGCGTGACACGCAACACCTCTGGGGGTAAAATGCAGAGAGGAATATTTTCCCAGCATGATAAAAATTAGCACCATCAATCATTCAAATAAAATGAGTAATTGATACTGCGGCCATTTTAAGCTAAGGGAGTAAACGGTTTCGAGCTTTGTGACGGCTGTGCTGCCTCTGCCAGCTGTGACCAGTTGCCAATATTCACGGTCGCCGAGTACCTGGTAACAGGGCATGACCAAGGCTGTAGAACTCCGGCATGACCTTCCTCGGGTCGGTGATCTCACTGCCTCACGACTCTGACTGCGCCCAGCCCAGCCGGCTGCCAGTGGACGTGCATTGGCCATTAACCTTCAGCTCGGAGCAGACTCACGGCCTTCCTCACAGCGAACGGCAGCTGCGTGGGAAAGGGCATTGTTTGCGGCCCGTAGGCCACGAGTCCTCACCGCTGTCGAGCTGTGACGGTTTGTAGCTTTAAATCTGGGCATCTTGATGCGCTTCCGGATCAGGACAAGATTTATTTGTCAAAACGTTGCAACCAAGTCCTAAATTACATTTTCTATTGATATCCCATCTAATCATGCCTTATTGATAAGGTCCTATCCTACTTCCAAGAACTGGCTGCTCTTCCTCTAGTTTTATGATCACGCGAATTCAGCAGCTCACGAATATGATACTACCACGAGCAATCCTCAAGCACTTTGCAGAAAAATAAAATCGCAGTTTGTGTCTTGTGGATGCTTCTCGACAGTCGTTCAGAAAACGATTAGCGCACCCGTCCCTGGATGACGTCTCAATAACAGGCCGTAAAACTCAGTGGGACGCTTCACGACAAACCAAGCTCAGAAGCACGACGAAGCCAAGGCGACAGGTTCGGTGGTCCAGAAACAACGCGAGGTAAACCAGCCGAGAAATCGATGTTACGCAAAGTAGCGGACTCAGTGAAGCGCACAATTTTAAATAGCTTCAGCCCGATTATGTGAATCAACAAACATAGTATGCTACTGAGCATCTCAAACAACGTTCCGATGCCCAGCTGTTCGGCCAGGACCAGAATACGGAGCATACCAATGTCTTTCAAAGCATGGAAATTCCTGCACCATGTCGAGATACCAGGTTGTAAGCTCTCCGCAGAATTGTGACCGATCTGTATTCTATTTGCAAAGGCCTCTACGCCGTGCTGCGGCAGCTCGGACGGCAATCGGAGGCTAAGCAGACAGCTTGACTCGGCCCTAAGGGTCTGATTGTCCATTCGGGAGCAAAGCCGGGGGGGGGGGGGGGGGGGGTTATTGCAGAAAAATATACTGCTAGAAACATCACACGATCACAAAATGGTATTTCGGGATTAGTTACAAAGTATCATTTGTATTTCTTGAAAAATATTTCACGTTATGTTTAAGACCATGTGTCCAAGCAGTTTCCATTGCAACTCATACACATTTCGAATAAAACATTAATTTCTCCAGAACATTTCAGTGCATCCCATGACAAGCGTTAGCCCTAAATATCCTCAGCCAAATCCCGGTCCGAGAATGGTCACTGTCCATCCCAGACCGGGCCCGGCCGGGCCGCGGGCCGAAGACCGCCGCCGGCTCCGGTCAGCGCCAGGGCCGATCAATGCCAGCCAGCCTCCAGCAACAGGCCGTATGCACACGGAGAAACAAAAAGCCGCCGCTCCCCGACCCCAAAAGGCCGCCGCCTGCCGCGGTCGGAGCGGCAAAAAGGCGCCTGGCAACCGGGACAGAAAGCAGAGAAGTGAGTTCAGATTTACTGGAAAGTGTTTTCATCTGGACAACACTTCAGGAAAAGTCAGCTCTTGCAGTCTGTTTTTCACGCTGCAGTCAGACTCTTGCAAAATTGTTATGACTTTGGAGTGGATTCCGTTGAGAGTAAAAAGGAAAAAGCGTTAAAATTAACACATGCCTACCAATCAGTATCAGGGCATAATATTCATCAAATAATATTACCACAGCCAAAGGAATTAATATGTCACGTAATTCGAAACATTGCTCTGTATTTCCAGTAGACCCGCTTTTAGACACGTTTCAAAAGCGGTTTTGACACCATTCTACAACTATCCAATTGGAAGCTGGACATAACGGCAAGAGGGATGCATTTTTGCCCGGTCCAATCAATGAGATAATCGCGACAACGAATTACCGTATTAGCGCGGTCACGGTGACGGGACTACCATAAGTGCCGCCAAAACAGGTCTAAGTATAAATATTACCGGCTCAGCTGAGGCTGAATAGCAAACCAACGAGCCGCCCGACCGCCATCCAGACAGAGTGCGACGTCACCAGACTAAACCAGTGACGTCACCAGACTGAGACAGTGACGTCACCAGGCAGACGACCGATTCTGAACCGGTCCCAGGTGCTGAGTGGAAGATGAAACTGAGTAGGTAAGAATACCTGGGGCTGAAGATTGCGGACGTTGCAAGCAGTGCATGGTGGACCGGAGAATACGAGTTGACGTTGGACGATAGATGATGGATGTTAAGCGATGGACGACAAGTCCTAAACGATTGAAGATAGACGATGGAAGATAAACGATGAGCGATGGACGGTAAACGTTGGACGTTGGACGATGAACGAGAAACGATGGACGATAAACGGAGGACGAAAAACGTTGGACGATAAACGATGGACGATAAAAGATGGACGGTGGACGGTTACTGAAACTCTGAAGCTGTAGGCGGCGGGTCCGACGGTGCCACTGCAGACGGCACAGTGGTGTGGGTGGTCAGCGCTGAGCGGCGGCGAGCTCCCAACTGTCTGTGTGGGCGGCAGCCTATCGATTACGTAACATACGGACATGTATCGTCTACCTACCTACCCCGACGAATGAATGGCTCGCAAAGACAGGTCTAAAGGTCGTGCCTGCTCAGCAATTGGACCCAGTCAAAGTGAACGCATTGCCACAATAACCAAATATCACTGCCAAAGCTTACATCAAATAAAAGCGTGCCCGCGCATAATCCAGCTATCACAGTTGCTGAGCGCCGCCGGTAACACAGGGCCGCCGAATCACCACTGGGTGATAAGATACCCATATCACGGCGGAAGTCGGACCAGCTGACGACCTTCCGCGTCCTCCTGAACGGCCCGCACCTTCGGCGGCGGCCATCCCGCCTGTCCGATTACCGGTCTCACGAGAGCGCTGTTTTACGACACCCTCGAGGTCGGCCCGCGGCCGGCAGTCCTCACCGGCCCACGGTCTCCCGGGCGGTGTTTCATAGCCCGACGCTGCAGACTGCAGTGCGCTGCTGTATTGGTGCGGCGTTTGAGACGAATTCGGCTCGACGCTTCAGCGTTGCGAGCGTCCGAGTTTGTTGATGTTTCCATGGAAACCCAACGCACCGCAATGCGCGGCCGTTAAACACCGCCCGGGAGTGGACCGGTAGCGAGCGGGCGCTACCGACTTGCGATAGCCTCCCGATCTGAGCCGGCGACACGACAGTCCAGTCAGCACTACACCGAGCCCGAGCACCCCACCTCAGCACAATCCACCCTCAAAAGCCAACGATCCACACATCTCCATGCGACGATCTGCATCGTGTCGTCACCCGCATATTTCACCGCAACAGCCACAAATAAGCGCCGCTTTCCACATTCAACCCCTTCCAGCACGCTCCAGATTTTATCAAAGACCGCCCGCGTGCCTGCCCTCCCTCCACCTGTGACCATCTCACGGCATTGTACCCGCTCTGTCGACCGCGACACACGCCTCCGCTGGCTCTCAACCACCGACGACACGCGCTCACAGGCCCGGAGGACGGCCCGTCGAGACGACGGGCTGGGCGCCAGAGAGGAACATCGATTTATCTGTCGAGCCGCCGCCGACATTACGCCGAGCGAACAGCCGCTCCAAGCCAGTCGACATGCCGTGAATACAAAACAACCGATTTCGGATGCTTTCCGCCGAGCAAAATAACATCGCTGCAGGCTTAGGCAAAGCCGTAAGTTTGGTACAGTTATTGGTTGGTACCAAATCGCCAGGAAGCATACCTTTAGAATCAGATAAAGACATCCAAATAGAAAAAAAAAAATGGCTGGAACAAGTGTTAATACTTTTTAAAGTTTCGTTCGTAACTGGTGAGCCAAATCGAACCATATGAACCGTAACGTTCACATGAAGGCTTATTGAAAAGAAATTAAACAGAAGAATGTCGCAAGTCCCACAATAACAATCGCGGAAGGACGCTCGGGACGCCAATATCCGCGTGTTTGCTGACGCACCCTCGTGTCGCGCGTATGGCGCCCATATCAGCTGACACGTGGCGGAACTCTGCGTGCCTATGGCTGGGTCACGCGCCTATGCCTATGGCTGGGAACTCTGCGTGCCTATGGCTGGGTCACGACCGGGGGTGATACGCCGGCCAGCTTCACCAAGAGGACGACACGCATGCTCCTGGCGCATGTGGGTCGTGATTATGTGATTATTATTACGCTCATTCAGATTTGCGCAGTAACAACTTCTCTAACTGATTCTGGTGCCCGACCATAGCCAAGGACATAAAATTGCTCGTAAACAGTGACAAGATGCCTTACAAATCTCTTTCACCGGGACCAATGGGACGCAACATTGGCTGCAAGAGTTCTAACTTCCAATCACAAAGCCATGAGAAACTGATACTGATTGAACCACATCGATTGGTTGTCCCGCGCATATGTCCCGCGGTGGACAATCCTCTTCATAGATGGCGCCAGGAGTGAGTGCCTGCAAGCACGCTGTGCCGCAATGTCCCGGTCAGACATCGCTGTTGGGAAAACGTCCGCGGGATCAGTTTTCACTTATCAGTAGCGAGTTTCTCTTTCCTGAAGTAAGCGGCCAACGATTCGAACATACGAATCCAGCAATATGCCTTCCGTCACCTGTAAAACGGTACTAACTATGATGGTGTTCAAATTAGCTTTGTTTGATAAATTTCCACGAAACGGACAACCGCCGCGTGTGCCCTGTCCGTCACGAGACACGTTATTTATGGATGACCCGTGACCTGTTATTGAAGAATGGTCACTGCGACGGCGGCCGGAGGCAATACTGGTCACCAGAAGATAGCTGGATAGAGATGCATCGATTGTTGATGACAATATAAGGTAATTAGGCAGCAGACACGAGCCTTCAGCCTAAAACAATATTCAGAAGAGCTGTATATGACGGTGGTGAGAACACCACTATCATACCAGTATAACGCCTTTTGGGCGAAGAACGAGCGAGCGAGATAGTGAGCCCTGCACATGCTGAAGGGCGAGAGGGTACTTTCAACGGGCTAGTGCAAAGCACCCTTCTAACCGGTCGCTAGCGGTGTGCCAAATTTGAACGCAATCGGCCCAGCCACTCCTGAGATCTAGAAGCGGCATTCTGCACGAGCGCACGTGCAAACAGGGTCCAAACTGATTTTTGCACGGCACCCTATTAACCGGTCCCCAACCGTGTACCAAATTTGAGCGCAATCGGCCCAGCTGTTCTCGACATCTGGAAGCGCCCCTACACGTGCGCACGTGCAGTAGTACCCTAACCGCAACACATGGGAATGCATTGCCTGCTGGGTGCCTACCTGTAGGTCAAGTTTCAGCGAAATTGCCCTAGTAATTACCGAGTTATTGAAATGGGAACAGATTTGGCGCCTCTTCTTTTTGCATTTTGCACGTGCAGTGGGGGTCACTCACATAGATCAAGAGTATCCGACCTTTGGTAGAAAGGATGCAGCTACCCTACAAAAATTACCGCAAAACAATCGCCCAAGCGGCTGCTAAGATATGAGCTTCTCAAAATAACTACTTTTGCAAAACAGCTTGAACACCCTCGACTTTTCACGTGGCACGTGCCACGACGGTCACTGAGATGTATCAAAAGTAGTCAATTACGGGGTAGAAGGAATGGGGCTACCCAGCAAAAAAGACCGCAGGCCAATCGGTCCAGCGGTTGCTGAGATATAAGCCTCTCAAAAGCGTTACAGGCCGGGCCGGGCCGGCCCGGCCCGGCTCATACTGAGATTTTTCCGTTATATTGAAAAGAGTTCGCTACGCTCGCTCGCTCGTAAACATTGGTGAGCTACGCCTTCTCGCACTACGCATATGGTATGTGTGATAAGAAAGTTACTCGATTTATACACTTTGCTGAGTCTAATTAATGGATTACGACTAACATTCCAGGACCAATGGTATTGTAATATTGTTCCTCGTGATAAGTGCGCTAGAACGTACAGGGTGTCCAGAAATTATTTGCCCCTCCATCAACTCGCCGTCATAATTAATAAACAAAGAGCCCCGGGTCATGGTTTATTTACCGATTTATCCCTTGCTCTGTCCACCCATTCACTCATCCACTTTGGCATTTCATAGATCAAGATGTCCAATTATCCGCGCTGATGTTCAGCCACACCTTTCACAGGTTCCCCTAAAGTCTGTTTTCTGTGGGAGCTGGTTCAATCTTGCTGAGCTCCTTCATGATTTCCCATAGGTTTTCGATTGGGATTAGGACAGAGGATTCGATTTGACTTCCCACTTCATTCCAGTCTTCACCATAACTTCAGCGCGCTTCAGACGCTTTGTCAAAGAGTTTCTTTCGTCATAGTAGACACTGCACGTTCAGGTGAGAGTCACGCCTGCCAATCACTGGCCCCTGGCGCCTCGCAAGTGTCAAGGTCAGGTGACCGGGTTATGTCATCTGTCTAACGGACAGCTGTGGATAGCCTGAGGCACGGTCTTAGCAATTTTTACGGTTCTTAAAGCGCATGGTGGGATTTAGCTAAATGAACCAGGGGCAAATAATTTCCGAACACCCTGTAGTCAATCAAATGTGTCTTAAATGAGAGAACAGCACGTAAGTTGTCCCATACCTATTCCCTTGGCGTAGGGAAAGGGGTTCCTTCATTTGTCGCAGGAGTTACAGACGAAAATATAAATATGCATCGATAAGGGTGATATTATATTGTTTTATGTTCACATAGGTAGTGTTATGCTATGAAATAGTCATTCAAGCCTGTCTATGAAAACCACCAACGTGCAATTCAGCGTGCTCTTTAGACAAATAACTTACATTTCCATTCACCTTTGTAAAATCCCTCATTCTAGAGAAACCTTTGCAGCGTCGACGGCAGTTACTGAAAATGCTAACAGTGCAGTTGAGAAACTTAGCGTTACGAAAGAGTGACAATGAGCTATCCTCTTCGAAGTTGAAGAGCACAGCAACCCGAGGGAGACTTTCACGGAATAGGTGAGTAGTTCTAAATGTGACATGTCAAATATGACGACACAAGAACGGCGGATCCAGAGCACTCGATGTTCAGCTAAGATGATTTGCAAAGGTCGGAGCAAAGTTCGTGATATGAAGATCGGCTCCACGTGAGAGAAATAATAAATATTACCCGCCAACGGGCACCAAGGGCGCCTCGACTGCAAATGGTTCCCACGAGCAATATATCGCTGCTGCCAGGCGCCAGGACGAGCCATCATACGCAAGCAGAAGAACGAGAAGCTCTTTAGGCACTTAATTTCAAACGTCACGAATAAAGTTCCCATATGATAAAACATTTGCTCAGTCATCCATTCAACACCCAATATGATGATTTTAAACGGCTTTTATCAATTTGCATCACTCCTAGTGCAGCGTCTCTCTATTCGCTTTAGCAAACAATACCAAGCCTCATTGCTGAGACGGTATAAAGACGCTCGCGCACGCCAGCTCGCCGGACGTGAGCCCATAGCGACCCAACGTCCCCGAGCCCCAAGCTTGTTCCAGTGACCACGCAGCCAGTCGTCACACGGACTGGAAACGCACGCCACGCACGCCAATCCCTCGGTCGGCGAGCGACGGATTGTGTCACCAGCGATCAGTCGCCGGCAGCGGCGTCCGGTCACTGTCAGGAGCACTGCCGCGCTATGCGTCAAATGACGTCATTGGTCACTACGGTGTCTGGAAGGAGTAGCAAATGTTTTATACCTAACTGATGGGAGACGACCCTCTACAATAAAATGCTGGTTATCTACACGACACCGTAGGCAGTTGATTTAGTAGTACAATTTACAAAACCTGTTGCTCAAAAAAGTGTCCCGTTATCGATGAACTTACTTGGATAGATGTTTCAAAATCTGGTTCTTGATAATTGACGTCATTCTGACGGCGGAGGTGCAAAGCGAACCCGCAGTGTGACGGCTTCAGCAGTGCCGGGGCTCAGCCGAACGATGGCGATCCTGAAACAAAACGCAGTGTTACTTACTGGTGCGTGGGCAGCGGTCACATTTGTAAGTATTAGCACTAAACGGCTGCAGCGGTCTGCTGGTGGATATTGTGCCGGGTGCGTATGGTGATACACACTGCATATATCTTTTATGCATCAGAATCATGTACGATCAGGGTGGTGACGTCATTCTTTCGATAGATGAAGTGCATCATTTTACACTTTTGGACACGAAAAGGTAGCAGCCACTCCTACCGCCAACATCCACTCTGCTCCAGGGCTGCAGAGTCCGAGTCGGAGTTGGCGTTGATTTCAAGCCGGAGTTAAATTCAGAGTCGGAGTCACCGAAAATCAATCGACCTGCAGGCCTGCCATGGCTGCAAAGTCTGAGTGATTGGAGCTCTGCCCAGTCAGTCAGAGTCGATTTTAGGAATCCAGAGTCAAAGTCGGAGTCGCCAATAGACTATGCAGTCGTGCTTTACACACCTGTGAATGGTGTGGACGAATGGGAAATCTCCAAGAAAAGATTGCTGGCTAACAATATTGTGAAAAAGTCGGGTCCAGTGACAGAGCCCTGGGAGACGACATTAGAAATATTTATCCAGGAGGAGGGCTGCGGTGTCGATGTACTTTTTTGGTGACTCCGACTCCGGCTTCCAAAATCGACTCCGACTCCGACTCCAGCTCCGACTCCGGACATTTACATATTATGATAGAAAAGTTTTCTTTTTATCTAGTTTAGTTTTCTTCTATCTAGTCTAGTTTAGTTTTAGTTTTCTTTTTATCTTATATTTTATCAGAGATCTTTTTATCTTGCCCAGAATTTTGCCCTGAATTGCCCTGAATTCATTTGCGCGTTCTATGGCCTTAGATCTCAGGTAGAGGTACTTTGCAAATGACATTCAGAGCTATAAGCAAGTTCTAGCGCAGCCGGTCTTCCGATTTTTCGCTGAAAATGCTCGTTCAAAACAGAAACATTGTCTTAGCTTCGACAAAATCTGCTATGGAAACATCAACGAGTGTATTATTTCCAAAACAAACATGCTGTAAGGCATGACTTTGAGCTACGCCAAATTTACTCCGACCCCGGAGTCAGAGTCGGTAATATTTTGGCGACTCCGACTCCGACACCGACTCCGGTCAAAATTGTCGATTGCGACCGACTCCGACTCCAACTCCGACTTCGCAGCCCTGTCCAGAGGACCATGTTGAAGACAGTTCAACTGATAGGACAGCCTTTTACACATCCTGTGTGTTAGCAGCTTGTAGGTCGTAAATTGGATAGTGGATATGGTTCAAATAGCCTACTATGAACGTCAAACCCCTTGAGACCCCACTTTTTTGCGATAATTTTTAAATGCGTCAACTCTCGTTGACAATATTCTGGCAATGTGTGTTTCAGAACCTGCCGAAACTTTTATTACTAAGGTATTTTAACGCCAAACGATTATGAAAGGTACTTCTCATTCACTCGTAATGTTAAATTTCACGGAACGAATCTGCTGTTTGGGTAGAGGCTACGCGCTCGTGGGGCGGAGCCACGTAATGACGTCAGCGCTAAACTCCGCCCTACCCCTCCGGCGCTCCTTGCCCGGCGACCGGTCACTCGCGTCTCGCGCTCCATTCAGGCTTGATGGTGGACGGTAGCTGGTAACGGTAGCGGGCGCTGGTAGATGACATTAAGAGCAGATGGCGCTGGTGGCGGGGCTCGAGTGTGGCCGAGCGCAAGCCTCTGCCCGGGCCTGAATTGACCTTAACATTACGAGTGAATGAGAAGTACCTTTCATAATCGTTTGGCGTCAAAATACCTTAGTAATAAAAGTTTCGGCAGGTTCTGAGACACACATTGCCAGAATATTGTCAACGAGAGTTGACGCATTTAAAAATTATCGCAAAAAAGTGGGGTCTCAAGGGGTTTGACGTCCATAGTAGGCAAACGCCACAAAATTACCTATACAGTGATGTCCTATCTCAATCCTTGATTACCTACCTACTTATACCTTTACAAGTGATGTCATTCTGAGCCACTTGGTGAGGAAATCAGGATGAATGATAGCCACTTCGATTTGTCTTTTATAGTCCTATCTGGCCCATATCACACCTTATCACCTTCTCACAATCGAATGCAGTGTTAGCACAAATTACTAACAGATATTGCATCATATCAGCTTCCAAAGAGCTGATATGATGCAGTATTTGTTAGTAATTTTTGCTAAAACAGCACTTGATTGTGATGCACAGGGAGTACAAACTTCAAATCAAAAATCAAAAGTTGTAGGTGCAATATGCTTCCTAAGGCATGCAATCTCACATGAAATGCTTTTTCAAAACCCAGACATATGCCCTTGCCCAGACATTCCATCCCAAAATTTCCTGAATTTCTTCAACATAGGACTGAGGATAGGACTGGTAGGTATTCTTGAAATATTGGTTCACTTTGCAGAATTGAGACTTGAGAGGAAATTTTGAAGGCATTTGTGGCTACATTGACATGCACAGATTATGGATGACAGCTGGCATCATTCTCAGATGATGACAATGAGGTTTAGGTTTAGGTTAAAGATAGTGGGTTAGGTTGGGTTGGACTAAGGTTTAGCTAGTACCAACTTCCCAAAGTGTCTATACAGGATGCAAAAGAGAGCACAACATCTGTTTGACTCCATGTGCTAACCACTCTGTTGGAGAAGAACTTTGACCTGGCATACACTCTACCTGTTTTTCTTTAGTTTCTGGCATGCCCTCTTGTCAAAATGTCATTAGGTCCTGGGTTGTGGAGTCAGAGTCGGCTGGTGTTGATCAGAGTTGTAAGTTCTCTGCTCAGTCAGAGTTGGTTTTTGAAAGCTGGAGTTGGAGTCAGTCACTGAAAATCCATTGACTCTGCAGAACTGATTGTCTGGAAAAGAGATGCCTTGAGTCAATCTTGGTATACCCTGAGAGAATCTTGAACTCAATCAGGTCCGCTTGTCACAGTCTTTCCTCCACGGTGAGGTGTGATTGGCTTGATTTCTGAAAATCTCTCTACATATGGTTTGTTTTGCAGCCCTTTCACCAGCTTTGTGGGCTGCGGCTATTCCCTGTATTCTTTCTTAAGCCAGAATATCTGAGCGAGCATCTACATCAACCAACATTGACATGTGAAGCGTAACGAGTGCTGCCCTCACAACAAGTTGAATTAAAGTGCCTTTAATTTCAGCAACTGTGTGTGGCAAGAGAGCAGGGACACACCAAACAGCCTAATCATGTCCAACCGGCTACCGGAGCAGCCAAGGCAAAAATGTTCAGCAAAAACAGATGAAACAAGTGACACTACGAGGGACATTATCTGACATTCAGCAACAACCATTTTCTAAAAAAATTAAAAATACACTACAACTGTGAATGTGATGACACCTATGGCATGACCTATTTATATACACTGTGGCATGACCTACCTTTATGTCACGCTGTCATGCAGTCAGAAGCTGGTGATTTTCGGCTTTTATCGCACACCAACACCACAGAATAAAGCGATTTAATTGTCACTGAACTATGATCTCTATTTTCGCTGATAGCCTCAGCTATACACGCTTATCAAACATAGGTACACATCTTTATCACAAATCACCACGAGCAACACTCAACCACCATCCAACACAGACCGCAACTTCAACTTCTCCACCCAGCGACAACGCAGCGCATAACTGACATCAACAGCACCATTTGTACACCAAACAACAGCTGATCGATATCCTTGTCTAGAAACTTGGCTAGTACATTTAGACAAACATTTTAGCCCAATAAAGTATTCGACGGTTTTTACGAAAACGGTAAAAGTTCTCCTTAAATAAGGGATGATAATGTTTACAAATACAAATTGATGAATTACAGATATTTCTATAAGAAAATCACCTCAGTTCACTGAAATTTGAAAAAAGAGCCAAGGTGCATAGCCAAACAAAGGCGTTTTCTTATCTATCGACAAATATGCCGCAGAAGATTCGAAAAGTAGTGTTCATGAGCTGCATATACCGTGATGAGCTGCTTACAAAACGTGTCAAAGGAGGAGCGATTTGATCAAGGATTTGATTCACGGTCATAGAATACTAGATTTGATTGCTCGAAATTTCCTGGGTTTGAGAAGGAAATAATCTCAGATAATCTACTATACTATTTCTAATCGCATCATCGCATCTATGAAGCGGCTGGATTCACATTTTGTTTTCATACGAACATAAGTCTCATATTCAAGTTTTGGTACCTATCTACCAGTACTTTGACTTTGACTTGCTATAATATCAATATTGATATCTTTCTCACCTCACTAATTTCACTTAATTCATTTGTCTCACTGATAACCTAACTAAAAGAGGAAATGACGAAATCTGCATTATTTGTTTGTCTGGGTAAGTGAATCAAAATTTTTAGGTACATTTTACCTACCATCCATTCACTGTTCACAATCCGAATCATGGCTGGTGAGTGGTGGGCATGTCTGTCCACATTACGAGTCCCCTATAGGTAATATGGGTGTGGCGTTGTTCCTCCCTGCATACTGTGCCTTGCACAATATGTGTGCATGATTTCTTAAATCCATTGACTCAAGGCATAAAATCACCTCAACTAAACATAATTTCTTAATTTTGGTACATAACACATAAATTTGCCTAATGCCCTACCTACTAGTTGAAAGATCAGAATCCTGAACTAGCTGCAAACTCAAAAAGAAAAGAAAAATACAACCCTTAGCTACAATATAATGAATGAACAAGAGGACAAATAGAGCAGTACATATCATGAATCAGAATGAGCAGATTGATCCCATAACTGAAGGACAGGATAAGGATCCCCAAAACCCTCCCATCCCATTTGTGCCCCAGAGTCCCAGAAGTGACCATAACCTGAACCAGAGTGTTGGAATCACTCACCCTGTATCAAGATTACTTCATATGTTGATGTCATGTATTGTTCAGATTGACCAGCGTTTTATCTTTTCCAGGAAACATCTGCCGGTCGCCGATCGCTGAGGCGGTGTTTGCGCAGGCGCTGCAGGAGCGGGGAGTCCGTGACCAGTGGCGCGTGGACAGCGCCGCTCTGGGCGACTGGCACGTGGGACGAGCCCCCGACCGTCGCGCGCAGGCCACCATGAAGAAACACAATGTGCCCATGAACTGCAAAGCCAGGGTGGTAAGTTGAAGTGATGTGGTTAAATCGGAATCCGGGACACGGATGGGAGAAGCATGATGCAACACCGGATCGGAATCAGTTGGAACTTGGAGCGGGCACATTTTCCCGCAAGCCCGAGCTGAAACCGGTGGATTTTTTTCGGGAGACTTAAAACGTCTTCATATTCCATTTTGTCTGTGATGAACATATTGATTTTATCCCTATCGACATTCGACAGCCAATTCCTGCTATTCTAGATAATAGCTATCATAATTAAGTCAATAATTTGGTATTTTTAGAAGCATGCCCAAATTGTTGAATAGATGGCTCATGGCTGTGAGATGGAATGTCATACCGAGCAGGGTCGTTACTTGAACTCTGACTCCGACTCCGGGCAGAACTGTCGACTCCTACCGACTCCGACTCCGACTCCGCCGCCATGGCAGGTCTACGGAGTCTATTAATTTCCGGTGACTCCGGCTTCGACTCAGACTTCGGTTTCCAAAATCGACTCAGACCCTGACCCCGGTCAGAACTGTCGACTCCGATGGACTCCGACTCCGCAGCCCTGTACAGCACACCATTCAACCCTGCCGCTGAAAGTAGGGGAAGGAAGCTTTTCAAACCTCTCCTTGTTTGTCAGGCAGTCGGTATCTCATTTTCTCGAATCTCGTTACAGGTTAGAACCTCGGACTTCAGGGAGTTTGATTATATTTTCGGAATGGATGAGAGTAACATCTCAGAGCTGAAGGATCTAGCGCCGTCCAACTCGACAGCTCAAATTGAGCTGCTAGGCAAATACGACCCAGAAGGCGCGCTTATCATCAGGGATCCATACTACGTAAGTTGTTATTGAGATGGCTTAGCGAGACATTGAGTTAATGCTTTCGGAAATGTATATCGTTCAGCTGTACAAAACAAGCTGGCTTGTGAATCGAACTGTGATTTTTTAATGTGTTTCATTTGCCGGGTACCTGGTAAGAATAGCTGAATGACCTTTTCTCCTTTTCTCAAAAGGAATGCTTTCCGAGCTTATAACGCTCATTAGCGATTATGTGATTGAACACTTTTTTTGCTTACTAAACGTTCGTAGGCATTGCCTATGTAGGGCTTCAGGCTTCTTGACAAACGCTTTTGCTTTTTATGAGTTCCCTTCACAATCCGACTGTGCTGTTTCAGGATGACGGCGACCAGGGTTTCGAGACCTGCTACCAGCAGTGTCTCCGCTGCTGTGGCGCCTTCCTCGACTCGATCAACGTCAAGTGATCGCGTCTCAGGACTTCTGTGTGTCGTGCTTTGGCGGGAGCCTCCTTTCGGATGCTAGTGCGACCGGCGGCAGGTCGCCGACCTGCGCTTATACATTTGTTCTTGAAAGGCGCTGTGCTTACATTGGTGATTTGGTAATATAAGTGTACTTTAATTTATGTTCAACACGATGAGAAGCGTAATAGACAGAAGTAGTAGTTTTTTTTCGTTATATAGCTTTCGTTTTACGTTTTACGACTTGAAGGCTATCTACATGGTGATGAACTCTGATTGGCCTGCATTCAATGTCCCCTCACGGATAATACCGCGACATAGTCGGACGTGTGTTACTGAATCTTTTGATCACATGCCGAATGCCGATCACTCGTCCATAGTCCAATGGCAGGCTCCTCGTTAATGTTCCAGGAGGCCTAGCCTTTCGGCCTTTGCTGGCCGCTTCTCAGAAGCTCATTGACGTCATGAGAGAAAAACACCCTTTCGTCTTGTGTTCAATAATCGTGATCTTTTGGGCCGAAGTGGCTGTCCGGTCCATGGTTGTCCAATCGGAGATAGCCTTTTGCACCCGCGCTGACTTCAGTCCTTTCTGGCTCCCTTTCGTTAATGTCCTTTCTCCACTCCCTCCCCTTGCATCGTGTAGCTTCTTATAGCCAAGGCTGGAGCCCGTATGTGTCCATATACAGCTCACCAAAGGCCGTGTAGGTATAGTACAATACTGTGATGTTCACTTCTATAATCTATATAGTCTCGCCGTTTAGCGTTTAGCCTTGAATGGCGATTGGCTGTTGCCGTGGGCCCACCGCTTAGTAACGGCACTGGCGTTCATGGCTGTCAGTGTTCATCCTGAAAAGACCGCGGTTGACATCCACTTGTAGGTATGTTCAGTCTGTACGGTACTTTTAAGACAGCCTCAGGCCGTATCTTTCTGGGGTAGGTATATAGGGCATTGGACGGACAGACTTACGTGTGCACCATCCCACTGCAGGACGGTGCGTCAGATCATTGCTGTACCCAGGCCTAGCGGTGCGGCGGTGCGAATTGGACATGCCGGGCTTGTGGAAGAACCTGGTTACAATGCGGACCTAGTCCCCGAGGAACTTTGGGCTATCATCCAGCGGCAGCATCCAGCGACTCTACCGCCAAGCGGAGATACTGTCAGCTGATGGATGCCTTCGCCCTGCGGCAGCATATCACCGGACCCACCTTCCGCAGCTCTGGCTCCACCATCGACGTCATCTGCAGCAACGGCACGCTGCAGCGGCAGGGCACGCTGCACTGTGACTACAGCGATCACAACTGGGCCCGCGCTACATTCAGTCTGACCGGACTCCGACCTAAACCGACCGTGGTGACAGCTCGCAGCTGGCGCCGTACTAACGCCGAGGAGCTGAACCGGCGGCTACAGACCATTGACTGGAGCCCGGTATTCCACAGCACGGATTCCGCCCAGCAGTGGGAGTACTTCCTCGGCGTGACACGGCCCGTGCTGGACGAGTTGGCACCCCTGAAACGGACCAAAGTGCGCAACCCGACCGCCCCGCCCGTGACCGAGGCCACCAAACAGCTGATGGCGGAGCGGCGCGCGGCGCTGCGGGATGGTGACCGCGACCACTACCGGCAGCTGAACCGGCGCGTGCAGGCTACCATACGGCGGGACACCAGGGACGCTGTGCAGCGGCACATTCAAGAGCGCGGACGGGCCTCCCTGTGGAGGGGAGTGCAGCCTGTCATAGCTTCTAAGAGCGCTGGGAAGCCACCCATCACAGCCGAGCAGGTGGACGCCGACGCACTGAATCGGTATTTTGTCAATATCGGTGTGAATGTAGGAGTTGGAGTGGGCCATTCTGCCCGCATTTGCATCTCTGCGGCCGAGAGCATGCTGGCGGCCGGCGCCCCGGGCGAGGGCGCGACCGAGGCGGCGCGCGGGCTGTGCTCGGGTTTGCATCTCTACGGCCGGGAACGCGCCGGCGGCCGGCGCCCCGGGCGAGGGCGCTGCCGAGGCGGCGCGGGGAGTGCTCAGTGTTGGGGAGGGATTCTGATGGTTACTGCTGTGTCGGACGGTTGTCCAGGTCGAGCTGTGCAGTGCTCGCGATGTGATATTGCTTGGGGTCACTCACAATACAGCGAATGATGCATTGATGGTCCAAACGATCGATCACTGTTCAAGTACAGCGCTCAACACCGAGCCATGCGCAACACTGCACTAAAACGAGTCATTAAAAATGTACAAACACAAGCGATCAGGTGGTTTTCGACTCCTAGCAGGCAACGTCCGTTCAGGAAGAGTCTGCCGGACCCCCGAGGAAGACGCCCGAGACCGGGGAGGACGACCCCGAGCCCGACGAGGAGCACCAGATCCCGAAACGCCGGCCCGGTTACCATGATCCCAGACACCCTCCCCCGGGGCTCTGCGGCATTGGGCTCGTCTTCGTCTCATCGAGGGGGCCCTCTTCCGGGTGTATCGCAGCAGAGCCGGGCAACCTGAGCGCCTCCAGGTGGTGATTCCTCCTGGACTGGTGGGTGGTGTTTTGACGTCTCTTCACGCAGGACCCTGTGGTGGACATTTTGGACCAGAAAAGCTGCTGAAACAGGCGCAGATCCGGTTCTTTTGGATCGGAATGGCTGCTGACATAAGCGAGTTTTGTTCGCATTGTGACCGCTGCACTGGTCGTAATGCTCCAAACCCGACGCCACGTGCGCCCATGGGCGAGCTCTTCGCGTCAGAGCCATGGGAAGTCCTCTCGATTGACTTTCTGACTGACCTCCCTTTGACTGAGCGTGGCAATCGACACCTGTGTGTGCTGTCGATGACCAGTCGATCGCAGACTCTGCGAGCGCAGACCCTGAGGATGCTGCGACGGCTGCTCATGGGTCCAGCGCGGACCCTCATGTTGACTCGGATGATACTGGGCCAGCTTCTGACCGACCAGCTTCTGGTTCTGCGAGTACTGACCTGGTCTGTGCTGCGCCGAGTGTGCGGTCAGGTGTCCCTGCGTCCGTTCACCCGCTTCCCGAGCACCTGGAGGGTTCACGTGATGTCCCCTCTGTGGATGTGGGAGCTGTTGAACCTGACGAACATGTGATTGACACGTACTCTGATCAGGAAACTGTCCAGTTTCCAAATGTGAATATGAACCCTCTGGACTCTGGTGATTCCCCTGGTGTCGGTCGTGGGGATGCTGGTGCTTCCCCGGGTGTTGGTGTTGTGGACCCCAGTGATGCCCGGGAGAACATTGTTGATGTTCCTGATTCTTCCCCGGACGACCTTGTGGGTCCTGGCGGTTCGGGGGGTGGCGGCGACGAGGGTTCTGGTGGTCTCCCGGGGGAGGGTGTCTGGGATCATGGTAACCGGGCCGGCGTTTCGGGATCTGGTGCTCCTCGTCGGGCTCGGGGTCGTCCTCCCCGGTCTCGGGCGTCTTCCTCGGGGGTCCGGCAGACTCTTCCTGAACGGACGTTGCCTGCTAGGAGTCGAAAACCACCTGATCGCTTGTGTTTGTACATTTTTAATGACTCGTTTTAGTGCAGTGTTGCGCATGGCTCGGTGTTGAGCGCTGTACTTGAACAGTGATCGATCGTTGGACCTCATTCCGTCTGATTACGTTCCTTGTTTTGTGTCTAGGCTGACCGTTGGTGGTTGGCCTCACTAATACGTTATTTCTTTCTGGTCCCCAGGGGAGCTGCGTCTTCACGGAGGGGAAGAGTGTAGGAGTTGGAGTGGGCCATTCTGCCCGCATTTGCATCTCTGCGGCCGAGAGCATGCTGGCGGCCGGCGCCCCGGGCGAGGGCGCGACCGAGGCGGCGCGCGGGCTGTGCTCGGGTTTGCATCTCTACGGCCGGGAACGCGCCGGCGGCCGGCGCCCCGGGCGAGGGCGCTGCCGAGGCGGCGCGGGGAGTGCTCAGTGTTGGGGAGGGATTCTGATGGTTACTGCTGTGTCGGACGGTTGTCCAGGTCGAGCTGTGCAGTGCTCGCGATGTGATATTGCTTGGGGTCACTCACAATACAGCGAAGTCAATGCATCATTCGCTTTGAAGTTACAACACGGTCTACATGAACACGGCACGCACGGTAGACGGCTCCGGACCCGAGCTGCCGGTTCGCCTGCCCCGAGTGTCGACTGGCTCGTTTACGGTTGCACCCATCACGCCTGAGTACCTGTTCTCCATTGTCGGGCGGATGAACGGTTCGTCTGCCTGCGGCGCCGATGGCTTGTGCATTCGTTTTATTAAAATGTGCCTTTTCTCACTGTACCATGTCTTGACTCACATTGTGAACACTAGCCTGGCTTCACATACTGTACCTGACTCGTGGAAACTTACGCTGGTCCATCCTATTCCCAAGGCATCAAAATCCGACGACTTTAGCAGCTACCGGCCTATCTCCATTCTCACCACTATTGGTAAAATCACCGAGCGCGTCGTCTCTGAACAGCTTTATTCCTATTTCTCTTCTCATCACCTGTTTTCTCCAAACCAGCACGGCTTCAGAACCAACCACTCCACGGACACTGCTCTACTCACCCTGACCGATCATGTTTTCCGGAGCATGGACCAGCGTGACGTCACCGTTCTCTGTCTGTTGGACTGCTCGCGCTGCCTCGACTGTATCCCACACAGCTCGCTTCTGCGTAAGCTCGAGCTCTACGGTGTAGATACCCGCTGGTTCCGGAGTTACCTTGCCAATCATTATCAGCGTGTGCAGCTTCACTCTACCGGACCGTCTCGTGCTCACACGCTCTCACAGCCGCTACTAAACCCTATCGGTACCTACCAGGGTTCATCGCTCGGGCCATTGTTGCACAATGTGTATGCTAATGACCTGCCGCTCTACACCGACAACTCCACCGGCATCATCGCCTACGCGGACGACGTCCAACTGTACGTTTCCGGACAGCCGAGAGACATCGTTCAGCTGAAACGGTCACTGGAAGGCAGTCTATCAGTTCTGTCGAACTGGTATGGCAAGAACGGCCTCAAGTTAAACGCTGCCAAAACTCAGCTGATCGTCCTCGGCACGCCGGAGATGACTCGTCGCCTGCCTCCCATTACCATCAACTTCTGCGGCTCCACCATCACCAGCTCTGACACTGTCAAGAACCTGGGAGTATGGTTTGACAGTGACATGTCGTTTGTGACGCATACCAGTGACGTGGTGCGGCGGTGCACCGGTACCTTGTGTGGCCTGAGTCACAGTAGACACAGTCTCCCAGCGACAGTCATGGTAACGTTGGTGCAGGGGCTCGTCTTGTCGATTATTAGGTACTGTCTGTCCGTTTACGGTGCTAGCAATGTAACCCAGCGCAAACGACTTCAAAAGCTGGTTAGGTTTGCTGCACGAGTCGTCTCAGGCCGTAGGAAGTATGATCGGGTGAGCGATGTTATCAACGAACTCGGCTGGCTTAACACCGAGAGCTTGTTCAGGTACCAATCCATCGTGCTGGTGAACAAAATGCTGGCCACGTCAGAGCCGCAGCAGTTCGCCACCTGTCTAGTCACCCGGCAGAGTGTACACGGGCGGGATACCAGGTACAATGACATGCTTGTGACCCCCACTGTCAGGTCAGAGTCCGGACGTCGCCGTTTTCTGTACTCTGCGGTGTCAGGGTACAACGAGCTGCCGGCGGACCTGCGCGCTCTTAGTCAGGCTCGATTCAAGCCGGCACTGAGGGAGCATTTGTTTGACCGCGAGCGAGCCACTTAGCTGTCCTAGTTAGCACACGTGATGAGGGTGAATGTGTGAATGATTGCGGTGACTGTTGTCATATCCCATTCGATTTGTATATGCACAACGACTTGGACATAGAATAGCCGTGTTTCCACGGACATGTCTGTAATGTGAAATAAAGCAGGACCTGCACAAACAGCAGCTGGCGGCCAGCCTGGGCCAGCCTTTGGATGCTCTTGCTCTAGCCTTTAGGGCCCTAGGCACAGCTCAAACGGGAATAATCGAAACTCAATTGCCGTCTGAGCTGCACAGTCCGGCCGCCAGGGTGACAAAACGCATTCGTGCGTGTTCCCGTCTTCGTGGGAGCATCGCTGTTTTTGTAGCAACAATTAAAGCACATTTTACAGATAGGACAAAACTTATGCCAGCCAGACCCTGTACAGAACACTACACCACAGTGTGCATAAATAATAAACTATAGTACACAACAGTCAACACAGCAGATCCCGCCTCTCTTTGACGCTGTGATAATGTGCGTTTGAAACAATAATGATTTATAGGTAGCATCTCTTTTTATTGTTGTCATTTATGGCGCGTTACTTACAAATACTCAAGTCGCCTTTGAACATTTGAATGCCAATTTATTGAATTATATTTTTTTAAAGCAAGGGGCGCGCTAGTTCTCATTTAAGATTAGTTTGAATGAGAAAAAAGGCTGGGCGGTAAGTTTCGATTTATTTGATAATGGTGCCTTTAGTCTTTAGTGTCTTAGGTTAATTGCCTTGTGCTTGTGCTCCATTGATTGGTTGATGCAGCGGTCGATCGTACTGTTACGATGCTTCTGCTTCATCGTGCTTCATCAACAGTCAATATCAATATTCGTTTTTTTTTAGGTATTGGTGGTCTTCGTGCTGCTATCACTGTGGTTGTATGAGTGATGGCTTTGTAAGGAGAAGTTGGACTTTTTTGCATTTTCTTTGGCAGGGGCGCGGGAACTTCTTTCAGACGGCCGACGGGGGGAAGGGGGGGGGGGGCACACCATAATAGAGATCAACATAGGGTACCCCCAAATCTAGTTTTCTCACCGCCACTTATTTTTCTTCCCCTGGCTTTATTCAGCAAAAAAAAAACATTTGCAAAAAAGTGATATGCCGTTTTAAAGTTGTGATGGCACCGCCCCCACGGCCCACCGCCCCAGGGTTGGGGGGGGGGGCAAGCTGCCCCCAGTGCCCCCCAGCTCCTGCGCATATGCTCGTTGCATAAATATTAATACAGAATGCAAACTTTCATGCAAAAGCTTATGCTGGGGCATCCACAATTCACATTCTCAGGTTAGGTCACATTCTCAAGTAAGGTCACATTCTCTCAGGTTAGGTCACATTCTCAATTCACATTCTGAGTCAGGTATTTCATGGTACAGGGAGTCGGGAGACATGGGCACTTCATATTAAGCCATCTTAGTCTTGACTCAATTCTATTTTTTCAGAAATGGATGCAGACATGAACATTGTAGAGACAGCATTAAGAAAAATGACCCAGCCACTGAGAACAGAGAGCAAATCCAGCATCGAGCAGCTGCTGGATAATCTTCGAATCACCACAAGGCATTGCCTGCAAACTGGGCAGGAGCATGTTGATGGTATGAAGTACCATCTTGTCAGCTTTTGACCTGGGTGCATCATAGTTGTTTTGGGTGCCACTTTTGATCATGTCTTGCTTGGCATCAATTGGTACCTATGCATGATGGATAAGGAAGTTCAGTTATGAGGCTGTCATTGCTCTTTTTTGTTTTTTAATTGATGAGTTTGTTCATATATTATGCTGTTCTTGAAAAAGTCAACAATGGTCAAATGATTATTGGGTATGAAACCAATGGTATTGCTTTACAGGTCTGCTGGATGTTAAAAATATAGCAGAGCACGTGAAAACCATTGGCAGTTTCAATAATCGTCTGGAAGAATTTCAGAAAGCTAAGTATGAAAATGACATCAACAAGGTAATGACCACCGAAATTATTAAAGAAAATATGCCCTTTTTAAGATGGGACTTTGAACTGAGATAGCAGTTTTGTAGGTTCAGTAGAGACTAGCACATTTCTGAAGCCTTTTTATCACCCATAAAACATGTTGCGAATACCGGTTTTGATTTTCGAGGATATGTGCTTACCTGATTGACCTGACGTTGACCCTGGCCTATGTTTGACTGACCCCTACATAGATCTGGCCCTCTTTAGGCCTTTTAGGAAGGATTGTGCACAGTTTTGACAGTTTATCACGAGAGGCGCCCATTACGAGGCTATGAAGTCCATGTTATTGAGGGCCCGATTTCAGGTGTTTGACCTGACCTTGACGGGCTTGACCCAACCTGTGACCTCGAAATTCAACTTTCAAATACTCATCTGAAGAGTCTCGTCGTGCGTTCTTTTGTTTGCCGCCTCGTGCGTTTTGCTGCCCCTATTGGTTCTCGAGAGTTATCGGCTGGGGGCCTTTACCCCCCCCCCCTCCCCTCCCCCCAGCAAACGGCGGGTGGCGAAATACCCCAGCAACTGCCGGGTTAAAGCTGATGATTAACATGCTGTAGAATCTAGCTTGCATTATTGCTGTTGAATATAAGTGCTGACTGCTGGAAAGTGGAAACATAATCCTATTTTCTAGGCGTGGTATACCCAAGTCCAATATTCAACACTGCAGATGTCACTTGCAATCAATACCTGTTGATAATGTATTCAGTCTTATCTTCCGTGCACTGCTTGGCACCTATCCATATTCGATTTTCCCTTCGATAGGCGAGAACGACTGAGAAGCTGAATGGTTTAAGAGCAGAGGAGGATGACCTGAAGAAGCAGCTGAGGGCGACTCAGCGGGACTGTGAGAAGCAGCTGAAGATAGTCGAAAAACGGCTTGAAAGTGAAAGGTGAGTGTGCTTGGAATACCTACGCTTCGCATAAATATTTTCACCTTTTGTTAACAGCTTCATTTTTTCTCTCCCAGCGATTGCCACTTTTGGTGCGTATGCTTGATTGATTTTGAAGTTTTGCTATCAGAAGTATGGCTGCACTGTTGTTGAGTTATCAATTATTGCCCCCTCTGCTCAAATACCTTCAAGTGTATTCGGCGCTTGGTATCCCATTCGTCATCCAACAATGTCCAATCACTCTACGATCTGTATCCGCAGTTTTCACATGCTGCGGATCGTTTCTCCTTGTCCCCTGACTTCTAACGGCGTCACGTACCGCTGCGGCAGGGCGGCATTCTCTGCGTACCTGCTTCTCTGCGGCCACGTGCGTCTGGGCACCGCTGTGGAGGCGGGCGACGAGCTGCGCGGCTGCGTCTCGGTGCAGCCCAGCGACCAGGTGACGTTCAGTCTGGACACGGCCGCTCTGCCGGCCGTCCGGCTGACCAACCGGCTGTGGACGCTGGCCGCCGAGGGAGTCGCCGACGGCACGCCAGGAGGAGCCGCCGACGGCACGCCAGAGGGAGTCGCCGACGGTACACCAGAGGGAGCGGCCGACGGTACGCCAGAGGGAGTCGCCGACGGTACGTCAGAGGGAGCCGCCGACGGAGGTGAAAAGTCCGCAGATGGAGCCGCCGATCCCGGCTCCAAGCCCGCAGAGGGAGCCGCCGACACCGGCTCCAAGCCCGCAGAGGGAGCGGCCGACTCAGGCGGTAAGCCCGCTGAGAAACAGCCCAGGGCACCAGACAGGGAGGTGAATGGTGAGGGCGAGGCGGCTAGGGACGGCGAGGAACACATTGATAACGAGAGGCGTAGTGTGGCGCAGAGCGTTGAGGCTCGCAGTCTCAAGAGATGAAGTGTACTGCCTGATGTAGCACAAAGAGGGGTGGGAACCTTTGTGGGTGGGTTTACCGACGCGGTGGGCAGGCGGAGTGAATTCTGGGGAGCAGATCTAACCAACAGCTTGTATGGACATTTTGCCGGAAATGACCGTAGTATAGAATAAGATAAGGCCCAGATAACTTATACGATGTTCAGATGTGGGCCAAAGATGCGTTTTATTGAGCAAGGTTTGGAACCCTCATTTGTTTTTCACTGACAGTACGCTGGCAAGTGTCCGGCGAGGCTAGCTTTATGTTTTTTCCTCATATAGATGTTACCAAGCTGTGTTGTTCGGCATTCCCTGATTCAGCAGCTTTTGTCGCATGCGCTGCTCAAAGTGCACAGTCATAGGATTTGGGCACCACTGCCAGTTTTTTTCCGTTTCCTTAATATGTTTGCGAGTTGAGGACTGAAGTTATATTTCAACATCTTTCGCGGCACACCGAGAAAGCACAACCATTTTCGTTCAGCCCATGCTTAAATGAAACGATCGTTCTGCATCGCTACGCTCCACCTTACTATGTAGTTGTAAAAGCATAGCATCATCATAATTGATAATAATGGTAGCAATGTGCACTGTGCAGAGATAAGCAGTTGCCTTCATATTTGTGGAATGCTGTTCATTAATCATCATATCTCATCTTCACGCATTTTCATCCATGTATAAACATATGCTTATTACTTACATTTTAGAATAGCGAATCTGAACTGCATTATGAACATGTTGCGATGTGTGCATGAGCAAGATATAGGTTCAAACGACTAAATACCGCAAGCTCCTTGGCCCGTTTTGTGGCAGCAATTCTTGAATTTATGAATACATTATAACGCTACACATATTTTATGGTGTCTTTGTTACTGATCCGAAACTTAGACTGCTCGCAGCTAGACGAGTGGCACTGTGAACAGCCACTTATTATTACAATGGATAGCAACAGCGATCATTGCTAGTTTTACGACCAGCAGTGAATAGTGATCGCTGACGCGTCCTCTTTGGATGCCCCATCACTAACCAGGCGCAGTGGTCCCGACCACCTGATTTGAGACCGGCCGGACTTCAGACAAAATGTTTGCGCGCCGACAGCCGGTGCCATCTGGGCGCCCTTAAAACAAATTATCATGATCAGCGTCTGAAACCAGGCGGCAGTATTGCACAAAGCTGGGAAGTGCGCTCCGATCACATCCTGTCCCGCCACTTGTTAACCCGCGCCCTGCTGGGGGGGGGGGGGGGTGTTTGAACACCCCCCCCCCCTTGTGGTTTTTCGCGAATATCTCAAAAACGGCGGCGCTCCCGCCGCCGTTTTTGGTACACCTTATCATACATCAATTCTACACATGTTGTAAAAATTTCAGACCAAGGTCATTCAAGGTCAGGTCACCAGGTCACTTGAAGTGACCTCACCTCATAAAAAGTTTCAATGTCTGCCATAGCTACACCGAGTGACCGATCGCTTTGAAACTTTCAGAGATTTCTAAGAGCAATAGCATGCACAAAATGTATATCTCAGAATTTTGATATCGATGACCTGGTCAATTTTGCGACCTCCCCATTTTGCGACCTCCCCAGTCAATGGGAGAAAATTGAAATGCGCCTCTTTTGGACGAAAGACATTATAAACACTCCCAAACACTGAATTACAAGTGGGTTAGACACACTGAACATGAAAATGGTGTCCATGACCCCTGTTTATGCCCCTGAGGTCATTTTAGGTCACGAATGGTATCTAACAGTTTTTCGCAAATAACTTTTGATAGAGGCATGCTAGAGCGATGAAAACGCCTTAGATGTGTTCAGCTCGACGATACGGATCGACTGATATGCAACATGACCCTTTCCGGTCAGGTCATGACCTTGACCTGAGGTCAAATTTTCAAGTTGACCTTTCAAGGTCAACTTATAGTTCATTCGATGCGTCTTGACGAGAGGAACACGATGCCGGTAAAAGTAAGCTCTTACAAGGCTCGGGTCAAAACTTATTGCAGAAAAACTTTCCGAAAAAAATCGGCTATTTTTGCAGTTTTTGTCCCCTGCGGGCAAAACCGTTGACGTTAGGTCAAATCTGAGAGAATTACTCAGAAGGGCGTTAAAAGGGCTATCGAATGCGCTTTTCCGCGGCGCTGTAGCTCTATTGGTTCCCGAGTTATGCGTTGGCTTCTTGGAAATTGTCGACATTCGACCTGGAAATCGGCAAAATTTTGCCTTCAATGACCTCTGGTGACCTGACCTTTGACCTGACCGAAAAATTGACCGAAGTGATTTCGTCATTATTTTTGATGCTCTTTCCGAGCGCCGCCTTCGGCGTATCGCTACGTGGCCCAGGAGCCGAGTTAGAGGGGGGGGGGGGGTGTTCAGACACCCCCCCCCCCCCAGCAGGGCGTGGAAATCCAGGACCCCCAGCCGGGCGCGGGTTAATTGAACCCGGATGTTTATCAACATGCGAGTTTGCCCGGCCTTGTGTGTTACCAACATTCCCAGTGTGACCGTTTTTGCACATTGGCGCAGAGTCTCGCTCCAATCTCGCACCGCCAGCTGCGACCCAGTTTGGAGGCTGTTTTTGCGTCGCATTCGCCCATCTGCTGTATGTCCGTTGTTCAGATAAACGAATATGGGCGTAAAAACGCTGGGCTCTGTTCTGGTGTGTGGTGCAGAGACTAGAGAGACTTCCACATTCACTTCTCGGTGTGTTCCACATGTACCTCTGTCGGTGAGATGCATGGGAACTACACATCTACCAGCCCTTGCGGCTGTGGTCAGTAGGTACGACACTGCAATAGTGTTTGACGGGCCCGTGGCGTAGTGGAGAGCGTAGGACGAGACTGGGTCGACAGCGGCCTTGACTAGCATGTGATTAGAAGGCTATCTGCTCTCTTTTTGGGCCTCATATGTCAATTTCCCCGTCTTTGTTGCTGGAGATGCTTTCTCGAGTGATGTTGGCCTCGACGGACCGTGCAGTGTCCAGCTACTTCACCGTTGATTGGTGCCATTCGTGGCGACGGTGTGGTATATTGCCTTCGCACCTATGTCATTAGTGATATCTTTCAAAATATCACTATCATTGTGTTACCGTGCAAAAGATCAACTTCGTTCACGTAAGTCATATATTTAAATAAACCCAAACACTGAAGGACACACACAAACCAGTAATCAGTCATACAGGTTTTGTACGGTACTCCGACTCAGATAGGCATTAGTTCTCGAATTGTAACGAAAAAGCACATTGTTGATAGGAACAAGAGCACTATACCGCGGCGGATTCCTGTTGTACAGACTATCCTAAGAAAAAGGCTGACGTAATGTTTGTTGACACGTAAGGATTGACTTAGAGCATGACTGGATGGTTATCACTTCTCTGAGTCTGCTGCTTATTTGCTGGCTGCTTGTTTCCACTAGTTTGCTATTGCTTCTTTGTCCGCACACCATCGACTCAGAAACTTGTCACTTGCTCCTATACATTGGTCCCAAAGTCCTTCTTGATGACGCTGGCGTGAGCGCGAGGACTGCTGTCTGTTGACAGTCCTCAGACCGACAGATCGACAAGGTATTTACACGAACCCCTGAGCACGTAACTGGCCTCAGCATTTGGCACTCGATATCGGACAGCACTCCATAGCGCCAGCTTTCTCAGCCGTTCAACACTTAGTGTTTTATCACTGACACCGCGCGGGGCAGTTTAGCGAACCGCTCTCCGACGACACACGTCGATTGTTCTGTGTCTGGGACTCTCCTCAACCCATCAGGATGCACTCGGACGGGAAGTCAGGGTCGCGCACCAGACGCTGCCGCGCCGGCCGCAGGCACGCTGAAAAACGGGCACACCAAGGGTTAGTCGGCAGTCAAGGAGATTTGAGTCGTCTTGACGCGAACTGTCTGACATTGCGAGAACATTATTCACATTCGACGTAAATCGTGAAACGTTGCATTCATAAGTGCGTTCAAAATGACAATTTAAAGCAAAATTGCAATCGTCTGAAGGCTTTCAATCTGTCAGGGAGCTACGGCTGAAACAGACCTTTAGGTAGTCAGGAAATCGTATTCGAGAGCCTTTCCAACAACATAAGATCTCGCATCGCTGGCGCGCACGGAGGTGCTGGCGAGTTTGCACCGTGTGTTACTCACGGAGTTCGCAGTGCTCGCCGTAGTGTCCGGTACCGTGACAGAAGCACTTGTAGCCGTCCCGCTTCTGCGTGCAGTAGCCGTTGTTCTTGCACGGCCTCGCTCGGCACATGTCATCGTTGCGAACTGTGACGTAAAACACCGTGCGTTAGACGCGGATTAAAACTCTTGATAATAAAAGCTGTTTGTCGAGTGATCCTGAAGTTGTCAAGCCATTTGAAGAAACATGTTAAAGCGTCCCGAATATTTCCATTATTCTCCCAAAAGAAACACTTGAGTTTTGGTTAGAAGTTGGGCCAGCCTTTTTTAGACAACTGAAGATACCAATACATAGCCATAGCATGCGATACAAAGAAATAACCCCCTATGAAGCTACTGACATAAATTCTAAGCAACGGCGGGCATCAAGCGCCGCGTCAACGGGTCCCTTCCTTCCGTCTTACCTTCGACGGCCCGTCGACACGCGTCCTCATCCCTGTAGGGGAAAATGGTCGGCGGGCAGCCCGAGTCGCAGGCACACTCTCCGTCGCGGATGAAGCAGCCCGTGACCACCTCCTCAGATGGACAGTCTTGGCTGCGACCGTACACCGAGCCTGAAACTAGGCCGGTCAACGGTCAGGTCACGGCTCTGGTCACGGCAGATGGGCCGCGGGGAACCACCACCTTCTTCGTAACATATTTAATTCAACGATTAGAAGCTAAACTCAGTTTTGTCGTGGAGCTTGTTGCTATTTTCGAAAATATATTCCATTTAAGTTTATTGGAAACCACGACGAGTAAGAGCTACAGTCATCCGTAAGGAATTTCAATTCTTATGTCGAGGAATGCACAAATCAAAACAATACGCTATACATGTGTATCAAGTAGCGGCTTCTTACCTGCTGTGTAGAGGAGGCACAGCGCGGCGGCAGTGAAGAACAGATTCATGGTGTGCTACGAGGGAGAGTTTAGAAGGTGCGCTGAAAGACAAGATTGGCGTTGTTTTTCAATGGCGGCGCGATAGTGCCCATTGATAATGCACTGAACTGTAATGGATAACCGTGTTTAAATCGAGCAGTTGTTTACAAGAAAGCGAAACTGGAAGGTAATTGGCAAGCTGTTCAACAGAAGCTTTGCGTTTGGAGACATAAGAAATATTAGTTTATGAAATGAAGAATCTCAATGCCCAACATTCATGGAACCTTACAGGACAGTTAAAAATGCCGTATCAAGTACGGAAACCCAATCCACCAGACCCTGAACTTCTCCCGCCTTACCTGCTAGTCTGTCCTTCCGCTAGTCTGTGTGCCTGTGTGCTCCCGGTTCCTCTCTCGCCTCCCGCTGCTGCTTCTCTCGCTGCTCCCCTCTGACTGACGCTATTTGAGCGCGCGCCGGTCTATTTGAGGACGACAGGGTGCGGAGGGCGGCCGCAGACGGCGCGTGCAGCTGCTCAGAGACACCCACCCCTCCCCCACTCTCTGCACGTGGCGCCTCCCTCGTCGGTTACTGCCAGGCGGTGCGTGGAGACCACGCACACGCACACGCGCGCGCACGGTGGTGAAACACCCGTGGAGAACTGCTGGCAGGCTGCCTCACCCGTGTGGCAGCGGAGTGGGTACGTTACGCCATACGGTGGGAACGAGAGAGATGACACGTGCTCCTTAAGCGCGGGGCATGCATCTATGCTGTTTAGGTGCATGCATTCCGGTGCATCCATTTTATTACATGATTGCTTTTTAGCATCAA